CAGGTGAACAATCCCAGCTGTGCCAGCCTTTCCTCCCAGCAGAGCTGCTCCATCCTCTGCTCATCCTGGAGCCTCCTCTGCATCTCTCCAGCAGCTCCAGGTCCCTGCTGTGCTGGGGCAGCTCTGCAGGTGGGGTCTCACCTGAGCCCCTCTGTTCTCCCCCATGGGTCAGAGCAGGCTCCAGCCCCGTCCCCAGCAGGTGCCAGGCCAGGAGAGGCTGGCACAGCTCTGCCAGCCCTGGGATGGAGCTGGGGAGCCCCAGAGGAGCCCACAGGGCAGGCAGGAGATGCTGACACTTCTGACAAATGTTTATTCCCATTTAATAGAGAAACCATCCCACTCCCTCCCCACATGGGTTTGTTCTGGTCAGGGTCAGCCAAGTGCTCCCTGCAAATGTCACCAAACACAGCCAGAGTGTTTCCACAGCTTTGGGAGAGCTGGCAGCTCCCAGTTTTCTTCTCCCAGCTGTGGCATTGGGAGGTGGTGGAAAAACCTCCAAGTGTGGAGACATCCCCTGGAAACTCCCTGAGAAGAGCGTCCAGAAAGAAGAAAGAAGGATTTTCTGCTTCCATGGCAAACATCATGGGTTCTTTCCCTTTTTTTCCTCCCTCCCTCCTGTAAGCTCTGGCTTCTGGATTCCTGGGAAAGGAGGCAGAGCTCTGGGTGCCTGGAATTGATGCCTTATTTCAATTATTTGTGCTGGTCCTGAGGAACCTCCAGAGATGCTCTGGGGCTGCAATGCCCAGCTGGATTTCCTTTTCTCTCTCACTCTTCTAAACCATTCTGCATCTTTGCTTTCCAATGAGCCAGTTTTTCCTCCTGTCCCAGGAATTTCTGTGCTCTCAGGGCCAGCCACTCTGGTAGATGCCACTCGAGCAGTGCCATAAATTCCCTGGTTTAACCCAGGATAAAAGAGCCACACAAATATTGCTGCCACCTCCAGCTGAAATCAGCTGCCTTTTACAGGTCCCTTCAGAGAATCTGCTTAAGACAGATCAAGAAGGGGAAGTTTCTAAAAAAACAAACATTTGCTGGCAGATTGAGGATTGTTCATCAGCCATTTGCTCTCTGAACCTTGCTCTGCCCCTGCTTATGGAACATTGTAGTTCAATTAAAACATCCCTGTGATAACGAGCCATTAGCATTTGAACAGGAGTTACATTTTCCCAGGAGAAACTCAAATGTGCAGACTTCAAGCAGCATGACTTTTCCCTTTCCACAGATATATTATAGGATGCCACATTTGCCTCTTGGTTGTTTTTCTTTTTTATAATCCCTGCTCACTTGTGATCATTTCTTTAGGCCTTGGAAAATTCTGGGAGAATCCTGGAAATGTTTTTTTCCTTTCAGAGGGGCCTGCGGGCTGCTGGGGGGGCAAATCCAGATGTTGTTATTCAATTTATTTGGCACAATCCCATCTAGAGCAGGATGTTTCCCATGGAAGTGAAGGGTGCCTAGGAGCAATCCCAAATGCAGGTGCCCAGCAGAGCAGTGGGAGCACAGACAGGGCCATGCCAGACCAGGAAATTCCCCATTCCCTTCTCCACTGGGGCCCTTTTCCTCCTTTCTGTCCCCAGCTGTGCTCTCCCCGAGGTGCTGGGAGCCCTTCCAGAGCTGCCAGAGGGGGCTCAGCCATGAGCTGATGGAGCAGCCTGTGCCAGGAAGGAGCTCCTGGAACTCATCCCAGATGTTCACCCTGACCAGGCTGAACCTTGGTGTTGCCCTCTGTCCTACAGTGAGAGAGCTAAAAAATGCCAAATTCCTTGAAAATCCAGTGTAGATGGTGTGATTTTCATTTTATTTCAGAATTCAGGGATTTTTCATAGAATCATGGAATGGTTTGGATTGGAATGGGCCTTAAACCCCACCCAGTGCCACCCCTGCCATGGCAGGGACACCTCCCACTGTCCCAGGCTGCTCC